GAAATAGTCATTGCAGTCTCACAAACTATTGGAAATCATGGAGTAATATGCTAAGGATAAACTCGCCTTCAATATTGCAGTCATCAAGTGTAACTCGAGGGAACCATAACAGGACATTTGACATCCTTAGTGTCTCTTTCACAACCTAGGTATAGAGAGAAATAGAGTCACTTCTTATCAGATTCTGGTGCAGATATAATACAGCGGGAAGTGCCAAATGCAAAAGATGATGCGATAGTTTCTACAAACCTTTGAGGCATAGGACATGCTATTGAGATCATCCAGGGTAAGTAAGGCCCCATTAGGCTTGCTTCTGAGTATTGAAATTTGTTCTTCCTGTAAGTTGGAGATTTAATCTTTTTATTTGCGAAAGAATGAATGCATATTGTAATCGAATGTGTTTGTTCCTTCATCGATGGATACTCACTCTGAGCCTGTCCTGGACTTCTCCGTGCTCATGTATGTTAAGGCTACCCTGAATTGGCTCAGGTATGTTAAGGCTATCCCTTCTTTCTTTTGGGCATGATCTATACGACACGAACAAAATGAGCAAATACACAAATTCCATAAATGACTCTATCCATCGAAGTATTAGAGATGTCTATGTTCTTGAACTCCAATATGTCTTATTATTCTATCGTTTGTTCATGGGTCTAAGAAAATACGTAGGTTGATAACGTTTGTTTCATGATATTAATCAGAGGTATAATTGTCTTATGATGTTCCGAGTGATTTTACTAACGTACTTCTCATGCATTGCATTCATTTATACATCTACATTGATCCATGACCAGACGACGTTATATACACATATATATGTGTGTGTGTATATATATATATATATATATATATACACACACATACACATATGGGATATGGGAAAAGGTTACAGCGTTATATATACGCACTACCACCTGATCAGCTGGTATACGTTGATGATATTGCCTGCAGTGGCTGAGATGATATAATGGGATGCCCTCAGAGGCTTGATGATGTTATGTACACACACACACACACACACACACACATACATATATATATACACACACATATGGGATATGGAAAAAGGTTACGGCGTTATATACGCACTACCACCTGATCAGCTGGTATACGTTGATGATATTGCCCGCAGTGGCTGAGATGATATAATGGGATGCCCTCAGAGACTTGATGATGTTATGTATACATATACCTATGCATGGTATGGCATTCATACGCATATGCATGATATTTTAAATATTAAGTGATTCACAGAGCTATTCAGACTTACATGTCGAGTCTTTTACTCCAT